CGCGGTTTATGCGACACTTGCTCGTTGCTGTCGGACGACCTACTATGCGTCCGGCCAGAGGAACGGAACAGAATGTGTTGCGCGGACGAGTTGTCCGGCCACAGCAGGATGTGGTAATTACGGCCTGTGCGCTCCAATGCCAATGGGATCGCGCCATATGACGCACACCCCTATCTTCCATGGGCTCACACTCGTCCAATTAGCTATCTCACACTTTATCGGTTGGTAAGGCGAGGCTAGCAAATCCACGCGGAAGCCAGCGTGATCGCTTCCTTCAACCTTCTGCTCCACTGCTATCCTACTAACCTAATCTCGTAGCCTACTACCCTCCAAATAAATCAACCGATACGTATCTAATCTTTTCAGCGAACTGTCCCACGCTAATCTCTCTGCCAACACACCACTCATTGTCGCGTACTATCCTAATCTCCGGAGTCGCGAACTATAAACGCGGCCTTAGGGCCGATGTCAGACTTTGCGAATCGAGCGATTATAGCGGCTCGATTACTAGAGTCCATATCTCGAAGTCAGATTAGGCGTGTCCGTGGATTTGACGTGACCGTCGCCGCACTTGTCGATTTTGACGTCGATGCGCAGCCGTAAGGATAAGCTTTTCCAAAATACTCAGCTGGATATCAGCAAATCATACTGCAAGCAGCTTATCCGCGAAACTTCTATCAAGTGCGGCGACCGCCACGTTAAACCCATAGAGACGCCTAATCAGACTCGAGATATGGAGTATACACGTGACGGTGCCTCGAAGAATTGACGTCGCTTGTACTTATCGACCCTTCTGATAACATTTGGTGGACGTTTGTTGCTAAGTCTGCAATTCCAATATTTCCGGCTGCGAGAAAAAAAAACTGCCTTGCGCAACACACGGCATTCGGAAATGTACAGTCCACATCTCGAAGTCTGATTGGGCGTGTCGCCGGAAACGACGTTGCGGCTACCGCACATGATAGGGGTCGTGTGGATACAATACTCTGCCAGTTATCAGCAAAGCGTGTTGAAAGCAACTTATCCGCGCAACTTCTATCAAGTGCGGTGGTTGCCACGTCATCTCCGGTGGCACGCCCAATCAGACTTCGAGATGTGGACTGTACATTTCCGAATGCCGTGTGTTGCGCAAGGCACTTTTTTCTTGCAGCCGGAAATATTGGATTGCAGGCCTAGCAACAAACATCCACC